TTATTGGTTCCATCACTTTCTTTGTCTATGACTTCTACTCTGTATCTTAGTGTATTCATTTAAGGAAGTGAGGAAATCATTGTTCCATTGTGCAGACTTGTTGGGAGAAACACATACAATGAAAAAATTTCATCTTAATATCTGATAATATCAAAATATCATAACCTTATAACAACAGAAATGGTTTCTATTATTCATGGTTCTGGAGGTTGGGGAGTCCAGGATGAAGTTGCTAGAAGAACCAGTAGCTGGTGACTCCATGATCACAGTGTCCTCATATGGTGGACAGGGCAAAGCAGTTGTTTGGGGCCCTTTTATTTATTTATTTTTAACTTTATGTATGTGAGTTTTTTCCTATATGTATGTCTTTGCACCATGCGTGTGCCTGATACCAGTGGAAGCTAGAATGTGTCATATCCCCTAGATCTGGAGTTATAGGGAGTTGTGAGCTGCCATGTGGGTGCTGTAAATCAAACTCTAGTCCTTTGGAGAGCAGACAGTGCTCTTAAGCACTGAGTAACAGCCCCACTTTTATTTTTTGTAAATCAGGTTACTAATTCCATTCCTGAGGGATCCATGCTTGCTCATGACTTCCCACTTCCAAATAGTACCACTCCAAAGATTAAATTTCAGTGTATGAATTTGGGTGACATAAGCACTCAAATCATTGCAATATGTATTTACTCTGTAAGCATCGTGCCAGGCAGATGACAGAGGCCCAACAAATCAGTAATCATAGTTATATGATTAGTGAAGGAGAGAGTAGAGTGTCTGCCTACCATGCACGAAACCCTGGCTCCTTCCCAAGCACCGTATTGAACTTTCTGCGGTGGCCAATGCCTGCAATCCTAGTGCTCTGGATGTGGAAGCAGGAACATAAGAAGTTGTAAGGTAATTCTTGGCTATAGGGAGTTTGTTGTCTAGCCTAGACTCCATGAAACTATGTCCAAAACAGGGAGAGCATTAGTGAGGTAATAAAGAATGCAACAGGGGATTGGAGGAATGTCTTCTAATATGCCTCTTTTCCTTACGTGTTGAAACTGAGAGTGATCTATTTGTAAAGTCATAGAAATAGTAACTTATGCACAATTTACACTGGCAGATCCCCAAGATTTCAGGATTCACAACTGGTGTTTAGAGGATGGAAAATAGGTTTTGATGTTATTGTGGATTTCCAGAATGGAAAAATATTGGAAAACGTGTAACAACTAAATGTCTTGTCTCGTTTCATCTGCTGATGTTGGAATGAAGTTTGGCTGGCTGTGAGTGTTCAAAGAAGAATCCCTAATGAGGGTTAATGCCTGTCTTCCCTATTGCTTACCCACAGTACTATTTCTGTTGTTTGTAAACTTGAGCCACAGTTATCCAATTACTGGAGTGATATCTTGGGATTCTCTAGCAATAATTCAAATTCATTTTTCCATGTCTGAGTCATAAAAGTGGCAAAATGAATGGAGGGTGGAAGTCGTGCTGTTTATCTGACCTTCACAGATGTAAATGAATTGACTGACTTATTTCTGGACCAATACAGGAATAAAGCAAGTTCAGCTAATCAGAACCTTTATCATATCCCAGACACTAAAAAGAGTAGTGAGTGTTTCACAGAGTACTATGTGATATCATCACAACTTTGTCACGATTTGACCTTAACTGACAAAGCACTTTGGGCAATTATATACTTTATGTTTCCACAGGTCCCAGGGTTTGCAGATAGAAAGAGGGATTAGTTCTCCCTTTCATGACATTAGGGCGAGGTGTGGTACCTCAGTCCCGTAATACTAACACTTGGGAGGCAGCGACTGCACACAGTGTGTACCAGGCTAGCCAGAGCTATGTAGCTCTGTAGAGAAAACAAACCAAAGAAAAAGAATAAAAAATAACAAAAATGATGTTCTTTCTATTCCAGTGGCCCATATATTCCAGTGGCACTCCACTTCTCCTTGGTTTTCTTATCCCCCTCCACTCCACTTTAAGGGACTCTCCCCTACTTTTCCCCAGTTGGCCCCAGTGCACTTGGTCTTTCTAGACATCCTCATGTCAAAACTTGATCTCACACTTCTCCTTTGCAGCATGGTCCAAATGGCTGACAAATGGAAGTGATGTCCACTCTCCAAATATTTCCTTCTCTATAGATATCCAGGTCAAGTTCATGGAAGATCTAGAGTAGAACTTCCAAATGCTCAATTTGTAGCGACTGAGGATGTGGTTCAATTGGTCAAGTACTTGCCTAATATATAACAGGGCATGGTGGGACACACCTCTACCCCCAACACTTGAGACGTAGAAGCAGTAAGCTCAAAAATTCCTCCTTGATTACAAAGCACATTCAAGGTCAGTCTGGACTACATGCAACCCCACCTTTAAAAACATCAGTTTAGAGTTCAGAAATGTATGGTGTAGTAAAGGCTGTCTGTAGGTGAGTCTGGTTCCCCAAATGCTCTGAAACAATCATCCCTGTGCTTGTTTTCCCACTAGTCCCCAAAGGCCCCCTGTAATGTCTTCCTGTATAGTTCCTGCTGCTACAGAACAGGCTAGCTGTGAGAACAGCATCTGTGGAGAATCTCAAGTATATTTGGGTTTTCTCAAAAGGGAACTGGGTGCAGTCCAGGCAACTTCCTCATTTGAACAGGGACTCTCATTGATGCATGTTTTATTTTATGATCAGTTCATATGTTCTAAAACGCAGTCAAGTAACAGACTATTTTAAGACTCCAGTGTTACCATTTGCAAGCAATCAACCCGGGTAAGAAACAACTGCACAAGTAAAACAAGGGAGATATTTTCACCACAGGGTTTACTCTCGTGTGTCTATTCTCCAAGCATTTCGTTTTTGTTGTAGAGACTAACCACTTTTTCCATAGCTATCTAAAAGATATATCCAAACACATAGAAAAGCAGTCCCACTGGGGATTATAGGCTGAAAACTCATGAACTTCACAAACAGCCTTAGTTAGACTTGGTGGGTCACAAAGCAAAAGAAGACATAAATATAGGGAAGAGACTTGTGGGAGTGGATGATAGGAGTGTGTGAGGAAGACGAGAGGGTGAGAGTGACGTGATCAGAACGCACTATCTACGTGTGTGTGTGTGTGTGTGTGTGTGTGAAATCGCAGGAGGAACACATGTAACACAAAGGAAACAAGTGACTCTGCCTGGTGACCATTTTGACACAGATGTCAGGAACATTTTTCTACTGGGCTAGTTTTAGGGGGGACGATTTACATTTGGCATCCTCTGCAGTTAGGGATGTTCTTGCCACCACCTATTATTGCATTGTGTTCACCTTTGCTTTGGCCAACTAAAATAGAAGTCCTGTCAGTTTATTCCTGAAAAGTCCATCTTAAACATGTAGGATGTAATACCATTTAACTCTTCACCAATATTAATGGTACCCTTTTATTAAAAGCCTATCTGTGCTTCTTATTTCTCTATTTGCTCTCTCTCTCTCTCTCTCTCTCTCTCTCTCTCTGTGTGTGTGTGTTTGTGTGTTTGCGCTCTCTCTCTCTCTCTCTCTCTCTCTCTCTCTGTGTGTGTGTGTGTGTGTGTGAGAGAGA